CAAGTAATTTTATAATAAGTTGCGTTACGTAAAGCAACATAATTTTGCTACTGGGCTTATGGTCACTGCTGTACTGATGTATTTATGAGAAAGTCACTTTCTATGATAGGGAATTTAACTGAACTCGTATACAGTACAAACGTAACGTAACGTAACGTAATGCAATAATCTATTATTTCATAACACTGTATCAACGGTAATAGACATGGTTATTAAATTTATTTTCTGTAACTAATCGCCAAATACCTACAACGCACGAGGGAGAGAAACTGATTAAGTTGAGGGGTTCCCAAAATTTGCAACGCTAGGAGGCCACAAAAACATATTTTTCGACGGAGAATTACTGAACGTGTTGGCAAAATTTCAGCTTCTCACGGCGACGAGTGTGAAGATAACGTTCTTCTGAAATGTTGCGTAGAGTAGTCTGGCAGGAAATGAACCGCGTTTCAGAAGACTTTACTGCCTCCATCACCAGGGCGACGAGGGAAAAACTGGGCTGAGGCATTGTAGGAGGTCGGACAAGGCAGAAGATTTGCCTGAGCAATGGTCGGGGGAGGGGGAGATTGGAACGGAGACAGACAGACAGACAAAGGGAGCCACAGCCTAACCTCTGAGCAATCACGAGCTTCTCAAGATCGACCCTTCCTCTAAAGTGCAGATACCTCCAACTTAACATTGCACGCCTACTGCTTAGACGAGCCTGTATAACACAAGCGTTAAATTGGTTGCCGCTTTTCAGATATCGAATACAATCTACAGCTCATTATACAGTGGATCTTAGAAGAGCCAGTGATTTGTCTGTCTCGTGTTGTACCGTGCAAATTACGTTTTTCCTACAGACATCATGAGAATAATGTCGCCGCTTGCCAAGAGGAGTTTCCGGACCGACACAAATTAATCCGCTGTTCAGCAGTGGCACACGGACCACCAGTTGATAAAAATTAGCCCTATGTATTTTTAGGCGTGGTCACAGCCCTGCAGAGCGCCTGTAAAAGCTGGAAACATTTTGTAATAATTTGGTCTCTTCATAAAAAAAAAGACACCGAGTTTGATCAAAATCTGTCAACTGTCTGGTCAGTGACTCACCAGAGAAGGATGGCACCGTAGTAGCCTGCAGCTCTGTACTGGCCGCCCCAGGCGAACCCTTCCTGTCCCAGGCTGAAGTACTCCGCCACCGTGAGGATGGGGAACGGCAGGCCACGCACCAGCGCCTCCCTGTAGCTCTCGCCCATCTCTTCAGAACCGAGCCACGAGAAGCGCTCGTTAAAATCGATGTCCTCAGTCCAGTTGTCCCCTGGCATCGCTGCAGACACGCACATCACAGCACAGACGTAATTATTCCAACAAATGCCATATTTGAACTTCCCTTTACAACAATCACACCAATTTTAATTATAGTTTATGTTTAGAAACGTTATTTATAATATTATAAGTAAATAATACAGCCACGGTGGTCTAGCGGTTAGAACGCTGGCCTTGTAACCCTGGGGTCTCGGGTTCGATTCCCGGCGGTGCCCGAATTTATAACTTGTGTTGGGCAAGGCCGTGATCTAGGCAACACGGAGTTTTCCTCCGGGGGCTTCCCCGGTTTCTCCGTGGCATCCCAACAATTACTCCATTCACACACAGAAGAAGGCAATGGCAAACCACTTCTGGATCATCTGCCAAGAACGTATATGAACAGGTCCGTCCGAGAAAAGGATCGAAGGATCCTGTTCATATGGACCTGTCGTCAGACAGAACACTAAATAAATAAATAAATAATATACTATTATTGAACATTATTGTATTGTTTAGAGTGGTCTACATGTTACTTCACACCTCGTAACTCCACATTTTTATATGTACTGTTGCAAAGCGTAAATTGAATTTACATAAAAGCTAATTCTCTATCTGCGACAATCTCTCAAGACTCAAAAGTATTTCTTTTATTTCCAGATTGTAAGAAAACGGCAAATTGTAAGGGAAAACCGATAAAAAGCACACAATTCGTCACATCAAGGAGTCTATTCTAAGAACCACACCTTCACAGCTGTCTTTTTTTTCTTTGTGCACGAACAGAGCAGTCTGTCTGTCTGTCTGTCTCGTTTTACACTTTAGTCTCGGCAACTGCCAGCGTATTTTCAATGGTCTACCATTTATATTTTAGTACCAGGTATCACGCACAAATTACAGCGCAATTTCATACACATTGTCGATAGTTTGTGTCCAGAGAGAACAGAAATCACTTAACATTTCATCACAGAATACTTCTGTCTTTTGAATAGAAGTCAGTGTTTCTGCTGATTACACCGAAAACACGTTCGGTCCTATATTTAGCGCAAATTCTTTGTACACTGTCTATATGCATGTACCAACCTAACAGCTACATAAATTCCTAAAACTACGTACCCAGTCCATATCATAGATTCGCTCTATGATCATTGCAATGATCCGATATAAGCCAAGGAAGTGTGAGAGAAGAATAATGCATGCAAAAATTTTATTAATCCGCCATTTAACACGCTATATTAGTCTTGAAATTCACGTATTCCAGAAACACAGCAGGGAAATCTTATTTATCTGTGGTATATTCAACGACGACGTTAAAAGCCCTCATTATGTAGTGACAAATAAATATAAGGATTAATGAATTGGAAATGCTGTGGAAGGAAGCGGTCGTGGAATATTTTCGAATACTAAACACGGAATTACTCAGGAGTGGCTGAGGAAAGCCAAGCCATGAAAAAAGTTACAGTGGAACCACGGTTTCGGAGAATTTGACGTAAATACGTCTTTAATTAATTATTCTTGTCCGTCTATTCACAATTTAAAATTTAAAATTAAGATAATTAAAATATCATGTGATGTTCCTTATCGAAACATTCGATTTACAGTTAGAACATCTTTTTTAACGTAATGTCAGATTCTGTGTGGAACACTAACGTTTGTTACATGAAAAATAACATCTTCCTTCACCAATCCGCGAACGACATCTATCAACGCACATCAGAAACACTGTTACAATCGATCATCAGCGACATTCTTCAAATTATAACCCACACAGAGAATCGTTTCTCTTTTTCGACATTTTTAAAAGCAATTCTTATATTTTAGTTACTTGTTCTCTTATACGAATTCATTTCAACCGTATCACAAACACATCTGTTACCATTTCCTTTCAATCTTTCTGTGTTCTTAAACAATGTTCAAGGAATAAGTGGCTTGTGCAAAATATAGCTGAAGTCAATTGAAACTTTTGGATATCTAAGACCTTATTATTATTTATTATTATTATTTTAGTGTTCTGTCTGACGACAGGTCCATATGAACAGGATCCTTCCATCCTTTTCTCGGACTGGGACCTGTTCATATACGTTCTTGGCAGATGATCCAGAAGTGGTTTGCCTTTGCCTTCTTCTGTGTGTGAATGGAGTAATTGTTGGGATGCCACGGAGAAACCGGGGAAGCCCCGGAGGAAAACTCCGTGTTGCCTAGACCACGGTCTTGCCCAACACAAGTTAAAAATTCGGGCACCGCCGGGAATCGAACCCGAGACCCCAGGATTACAAGGCCAGCGTTCTAACCGCTAGACCACCGTGGCGGTTAGGGTAAGGTAAGGTAATGTAATGTAATGTCTTATAGGTAACAACAATGCTAAGTAAACAGATGAAGTTTCCTAGGTAACATAACAATGCAGTTACACTTTTTCGTTTCCCTTTTTCGTTCCCCTTTTTTGCCGAATGACCCTTCCTTATAGACGTATTTACGTCAAAAAACCCTCAGCAAAGTCAATCTATTTCCTGAAAGGGACGCACATGGGAACGCCTCAAGAGACGCTGGAGTGGGGAGTGACCAAATTTTATTTCGAGACGCCTCCGTGTTTCGGATGCCTAAACTGTCTCTTCTGTCATCTTAACGCGTTTTACCAACCCCCTGTTTTGCTGTCGTGACTCGTGCCAGGCTTATGAACTACGCTGTAATAGACATGTAATGAAACATATGACAGCAGCCGTGTCGTTGTAACGGGTGGCTGGCTGCACGGAGCTATTGGAGCGAAACACAAGAATTATTGTTTCGTGCTACCACTGCCAATTTCAAGAGCAGTCTACCGGTTCGGTAACGTTCACATTCCGCCTACAGGGGTTATCAAAATACACATTCCAAGTGCAGGACCCTCTGACGGAAGCGGCCAGTCTTGACGCCCGTGCTAAGTTAAAAAAACCCATCGTCCTTTGTCGCCCGTTTGTAGAACCAATAATGAAATTTATAACAGCAACTTTTAGGTTGGCGACCATTTCCTGTTAAGGGATTTTGGACCTTATTGGATAATATTTATCAGCAAAAATCCCTGGGTTAATTCAATTATCATACTCAGCTGGACATTCGGCGATTATGATACTGTTAGTACAAATTTCCCTGTGAGATAAGGGAAGTAGGGTAATAAATTGTTTAGTGAAACAAAGTACCTCGGAGAGTGATGTTCACATGTCCCAATCCAATATACGCGCCCAACTCTGCTTCGACCTTCTCCCTGGAGAAGGCACGATAAGAGCTGACGATCTCTGTGCATGCAACGTGCCATCCAGATCCGTATTTGGCCACTGGAAACAAAAAAACAAACAAATCACATCCTGTAATTGTTGTCACCGTGGCCTTCAGAAAGTCTTCAACTTAAAAGGTTTGCACGACAATGAGACAGCGATTCTACGTGTTGCTAAACTGATCACATCGAATATACCGCATACTTGGAAGAAAAAGTTGTCAGTGGAACCACGGTTTCGGAGAATATGACGTAAATACGTCTACACGGAAAGGAAGTTTATATATTGGCTTTATTCTAAATATTTCCTTTATACATGCTTTACAATTGCGTAAAGTTTGATTAAGACATTGCTTATTCAACTTGAATTAGTTACGCTTAAGATGGGTCTGTAGTAGCTGAATGTAATGTAATGAAATGTAATGTAAGGTAATGTAAGGTAAGGTAAGGTAAGGTAATGTTTTATAGGTAACAACAATGCCGAGGAAATAGATGTTCCCAGGTAACCATTGTTGTTTATTTGTTGATAAACCATTGTTACACTTTTTCGTTTCACTTTTTGCCGAATGACCCTTCCTTATAGACGTATTTACGTCAAAAAAATATTCACTTCTATTCCATAAATAATTTACCATATCTAAAAAAAGCATTTAAGAATAAGTTCCAGATCAAAATAAGATTTATATTTCATGCAATGCATATACACATTTATGAGACATTTCTTGGGGGGGGGGGGGGAAGGTAAGATTTCGATGTAATCTTCATTAAAGTTGGGGGTCATATAAACTAAGATTTAAATCTTACAGAAAGAACCCCAGAATTTTAAGAAATTTCAGCAGTTTAACGGATAAACGGGCGAATAGAGAGGATCTCACTATTATGCGTTCATTATACGCATTTTGTGAGAGAAATTTCTGATCAGTTTGATATCCCGAGCCAGTTTAATCCATTCTATATCATATATATATGATTCCCCTCTGTATCTTCCTCACATCTACACCTAGGTCTTCCAAATGGGTTCTTTTCTTCACGTTTTCCGACTAAACATGTGTCAGCGCGCGAGAAATTCCTAAAGAAATATGATAAATGGCCGAAGATGTTTCGACAACTTTCCTAATTGTAGGTTTTTCTACTGAAAAATATAGTGGGCGTACACATTTCTGACACGATGATTGCCAAACAAGCTCAAACGCGGCTAACTTTCAGACAATAACAGATGGCGCCAGGCCTGTCTGTGTTTAATACTCCGTTTCAGTGAGCTTTCTTCTTCGATAAAGCTCACTGGCCGTGGTTAGTCACAGACGAAATCGTCCTCACTTTCAACATCATAAATTCTGCTTACGCATTTCAGATAATAAGCTGCCACCATCTTGGATACGTAGTTCTTACACTCAAGACTCACTTCGTAATCTCATAAAAGATGTCTCTTCTTTTGCGTCTCGCTGTGAAATTATCGTGTTAAGGCCGCTGATTACGTCACTGTGAAGAAACAATTCTTCAACATTTTTGTCAGTGTCGAACTGGCTTCTAGACTTACACACACAAAATACTACGACCTGACATTTACCGAGACCATTTGTTGTTTATTCCTGTTAAAGCACTGGATGAAAACCATTCCACGACTTTTCTAAATCGTATCGCAACCTTCTTCAGGGTTGACGTTCCTTCCGAAACGTCTGTAACCACAAGACCGCGATGTTTGAGGTTAAAAAAGCAGTGACGTTGCATGTCTTGTTCTTCTTGGCTGGGACGCTGTATGGACTCGTAGGCAGATACAATACTGTTTCCTACCTGAGGATGGAGACAGTGTGTTCCTCCAAAACGTCTGTAACCACATTCAAGACCGCGATGTTTGAGGTTAAAAAAGCAGTGACGTTGCATGTCTTGTTCTTCTTGGCTGGGACGCTGTATGGACTCGTAGGCAGATACAATACTGTTTCCTACCTGAGGATGGAGACAGTGTGTTCCTCCAAAACGTCTGTAACCACATTCAAGACCGCGATGTTTGAGGTTAAAAAAGCAGTGACGTTGCATGTCTTGTTCTTCTTGGCTGGGACGCTGTATGGACTCGTAGGCAGATACAATACTGTTTCCTACCTGAGGATGGAGACAGTGTGTTCCTCCGAAACGTTGGTGTCCATCTACATACCGTGAGAGTCCAGAAGACGATAAAGGATATCTTGACCGCCATAAAAAACCAAATCTCTGACTGTCTAAATTACATTCTGTGCTTGTCACGTATCGACGGCGAAAATATAATTTCGAGCCGTCCTGGGTATTCTGCATACGAACTGTCGCACTCCACGGGTATTTCTACATCCAGCGATATTAGATGAAATCGATTAGTTATCGCAAATCGTGTTGTGGTGCCACCTAGTCCACGGATTCTCTCGACCTGTGTTCGAGACGGTGGTAATGTAACAATAGAATGTTACAAAATTAGTCAAGATTTCGTGACGAGAGAAGGCACCTTTACCCACTGACCGGAACGCCGTTCTACGGCCGGCGTATATGCAGAAACTCATGGCTGGGTGCGACAAAAAAGTTACGTGCTCATCGAAATAAGCCGCCATGTTGTCACCACTTCCACTTCGCATTCGGAAGGTCCCGGGTTGGACACTCGGTCCAGTTAGCAACAAACCCAATAAAATATCTTATTTTCCTCAGTACCTCCGGGAAAACGTCGATAGTTCTCCCTAAAATAGCCAACGACCAACGCTGCTGAATGTATATTTATTAAAGACCGCTAAATAAACAAAACTAGATCACATGTGAAGGTAACGTGTGTGCAATACGTTCATAAATTGAACGCATAATAGAAAAGCCAAGTCCGTTCCACCGTTTGTCTGTGTGTGTTGCTGGCAGACTTTACTGTCTTTGGTTTCGTTCTGCCCATAAATTGTCTAATGCGTAGCAGTCAGTATTGCGTTTTTAATGGAACATTCTGTACAATGGTATATTTATAACCGTGTTACATTATTACGTTTAAACGTGCCACATATTAGCCTTGATAAACTGACAGGTTGTTATAATATATTTTTGAACACGCCTTACAGCGACACTCGAGAGATTTATTGTGTGAATTTTTTTTAATTCAATGTTCTATGGGGTTAGGACCAGGGAAAATCTTAACTGTTCGTGCAGACTCTCTGCTCGTTCCACTCCGGTGACCTCATGACAATTCCCTTTTACTAAAACGTAATGCTTTTTCACCTAGATGCCACTACGAAGAACATACAAGAAGTTAATTCCACTGTACTTATTAAAATTCACTGTGCACCAGTGAAAATCACTTATTCGCTTATTCTGCAGAGGACACACACACAATCAAGGCAACAGAAGTCCCGGTGAAGGACTTACTTCGTGGATCAGAGACCTCGAGACGCTGATAGTCCTCAGCTAGTCAAGAAAATACCAGCGTTTTATAAAACCCGAAGGTTCAGTACATAAACATTTCAATGAGACGAGCTATCCTGTTTGAGGTTTTCCTCAGTCCCTACAGGCTAGTTCTGGGATAGTATCTTAAATAGACCACGACCGCTTCCATGTCTTTCACAGTTCACTCATTATTCATCGGTCACCCTGCCACCCGACTATACGAGGTGCGTTCGAAAGGTTTCAAGACTGCGCGTATAAAAACCCGTACACGTATCTCAGGTATTAAATTCATCCATCACCCTCGAAGTAGTTCCCCTGGGAGTGAACACAACGATCCCAGCGCCGCTGCCAAGCCTGGAAGCATCCCTGGAAATCTTTCTTTGCCAGCCTGTCAAGCACCATCTGCGAACCTGCCTGAATCTCTTCTATCGTCTCAAATCTCCTTCCCTTGAATTTTCATCTTTCGGAAGAGGAAGAAGTCACACGGAGCTAAATCCGGCGAATAAGGAGGGTGCAGGATGACGGCCATGGTGTTTGAGGCCAAAAACTGCCGAACTTTGAGGGCGGTGTGCGCTGGCGCGTTGTCATGATGCGTCGCATGTGGAGTTCTTCCTTTAGAATCAGCTCACAGGTCCCATAGCCTATCCCAACAAGGTCGCACAAGTCGTTGATGGTACGACGTCGATATTCGTAACATTTTCGGGCGTTGTGCTCGAAGATGGTCGTCCAGAACGCTCGTCATCATCGACAGAGGTTCGGCCATTTTTAAAACGTGAATGCCACACAAAAGTTTGTGCACGACCCATTGCGGACTCCCCAAATGCTTGCTTTAGCATTTCATAGGTTTCCGTAGCCGTTTTGGCAAGTCTTTGGCAATGACACAGTCTTGAAACTTTCCGATCGCACCTCGTATATAGTTGACATAATAATAGTATCGTAAAATAGACGACAAATAAAATTAGTTGTAAATAATATATTCTCATTCCAGGATTACAGAATGTTCCGCCATTTTGTGTTAGGATTACTTTTGGTGATTTGGTTTTGAAGAGACGTTCCTGTGTCTCCTATTTCCCTGATGATGGAGGCAGCAAGCACATCTGAAACGTCTGTCAGTGTCTACCACACTAAATGAATGCAACATTTCTCACTTCATTATATACCACTTCAGTTATTTAAGGTCCTACCACATGAATTTATTTTATTGACTGCAAATCGATAACGTTAGATTTCTTATATTGCACACGATTCCTGAAAGAACAATTGTAGACGTATATTTTTCATTAGAACATGATTCTTGCATCGATATCACTTTCTAAAGTAAGTACAATTTTTTTATTAGGTGGCCTCATTGCCCGCATTTACCTTATCACATTGAAGTCCAGGTTGGCGATCGTCTACGCCAAATTCAATTCAATTTCAAAACGTACGACTAATGAATGGGTGTTCAAGAATAATTCTGTTCATTAAGGCAACTCGCCATGTTAGTTCTTGCACTTACAAATACAAATTCACTCATTTCTGTCAGGATTTCAAAATAAGGCCGGGCACGCTGTTTATCTCAAAAGACTTTCACTTGTTTCAGCGATATTTCAAAACGTTCGGAATTATTTCACTTGAACGTTTTAGCAGAGCAGATCAAAGTTCGCAAAGCAACACACAAACCAAGAGCTGGAAAACCAAGGACGTAATCAGCATGTGAACGGACATGAACGGACATAAGCGGGCATGAACACCATTTGCCAGGTGTGACAAAAACATAACAGGTATGAGTTGAACGATTTACCCGAGACAAAAGAATGCCGGTGCCCACTGGATAAGAAGCTGGGTGATCCAGACTGGGCATTAAGGCGGGGAGGGTCCTAGAAACTAGAAAAGAAACCCAGCATGATGTAAAATATGACACGGGACTTCGAAGTCTGACGAATTCGCTGGAACTGCCTTACGTAAATTTCCCTATCCACCTGTTAATTATTTATCACGTCCAAATGCCAATACATGTTTCTTTTTTTACTTGGTTTTATATATTTTCCTTCTAGAAAAACGCGAAGCCATTAATAATTATATAATGGCGAAATGCCTCTTCCTTCTGGAGGTTTCTGTGAAATTACGTGGACCATCGCTTGAGTAATTCTTTCTTTCTGCGCTGCAGTTAGTAACAAGCCCAAGCTCTTTGTTTAGAACGGAGGTGAAATTCATTACTGGTCAGTCTTACAACACGACGAGAGTCTCGGAGAGCAGCGGGCAGGAAAATTCGTGGATCTAGGCTGCGAAATGACCACGACGCCTAACTCGGTCGAAATGCTGGGAAGTGTTGCAACCGAAGAACTTCTTCGCAGGGGTGGGAAACATCCGAATACTGTGGTTCTGAACCCGTGGTACGCGAACCCACTAGAGGACACGCGAGGTATAATTCATGCAATGTCAAAATTAAGTAAACAGGGTGTCAAAGAGACCATGAAATTTTTAAATACGAGATTTGTACAGCTGCTAAAAATGTTTATTGTGGTCTTCTGGCTTACACTGAACGTTCGTAACTACGAGACGTCAAACCCCAGACGAAAACAGTCCACTTTAATTTGAAACTGTGTTTTAAAATAATATCTGTGCATGGGTAACTTTTATGATGAATCATTACGTGTGGTTCCAGGCGAAAATTAAGACTTCGTCGAATGAAGTATCGCCCCGAAACCAAGGGGCATAAATATCCAGAACCGAAAGCTTTCAGAAACACTGTATACTGCCGAGAAGCAGCAAATGTTCTGCGCCCTGTGAAACACAAGTTGACAGCTTCACCTGGTGAAGATTCCGTCACAGTTAAGCAGTAACACCCACCGGATGACTCCCCTTCGACGCCAAGTGTTTCAAACGACACGCGATGCTTCTCCCAAACACAATTAATGCAGATTTTATCAGCCAAGGACTTAAATGAATGCATTTAGATTGAGCAGGTTGGTAGCTCTGGATCTGTGGCGTGGACAGACGCCTTCACGGTTATTTCGGTCGAATTCCCGGCTATCCTGGCGTTTTCGTGTTTTTATTCAGGAACTCCTGGTAAATACCGATAATGTGCCATGAAAGAGGCTTCAACCGCCTGTGTCGAAGTCCCTCATTATTCACAATGCATAATAACCATCCCATCTTACTCGGCATTTTATCTTCTGTAGTCGAAACAGCGTATTTACGTAACCAAATGTTGAGTACCTCTAACGTGTGTTCTGTAAATCTGAAGTAGAAAAAAAAATCCAATATGCGTTCTTTTAGGCTAATGTAAAAAAATAGATTCTGTTAAAGTAATATTAAAATGGATGTCGAGGATGTGGTTTTAATTTTTCTTACCGCAGACAGAGGCCACTGGAAGGCTGTTGTAGGCGTGGCAAAAGAATTACCGCGTTTTTACAAAAGGAGCTGGGCGTACCATTTAACTTATCAAGAGCGCCTGTTCTGTGGACACAGTCGGTTGGAAACACGTCTTAATTTTCAGCGCTGTCTGGATCCACTCGCGTTATTCCTATCTCACATATGATCACGAACATGATCCATTGTTCACGAGTTGAAGGCCCGCCTACTCACTGTCCCGGCTACCTGTTCGCACGTGGTACAATTTCAGACGTCAGAGGTGAACCGGCACCCGGGATGGAACTTCACCTTAACCTTTGGCCTCGTGCACGCAATTAGCGAGTTACGCGGAATATACGTCGACGGATATGCAAACAAGCGCATTCCAATGATACGACGCAAAAACTCAAATCTCAACCAACACGTAGCTTAACTGAAGGTGGATACAATTTGATGATGTTAATGATCCCCTGGGTTTTAGTGTCGTGCAGATTCGTCGACAGACAAGCAAACGGAGGTCGCAAATTTTGTTCTTAACCGGAAAGAGATTCACTGAAGACAAACGAGGCGTCAAGGTTACGCAGGAAGCAAAGTGAACGGCGGTGGAAGTAATTTACACAAATGTCGATCGAAAAGCCTCGTGAGAAGACGCCAGATAGGCCTAAAAAGGACGTCCGGACGGCGATGGTGGTCCGGAGGTGGTAAGATGCTGATCTTCAGCTCAGAAGACATCTGTCGTATTAAGAGCACATTTTTCAGTAAGACTACAATTTATTTTGTCTCTAACCAAGTCTAAACCTTGTAAAAATGCTTCGAGCTTCAAGACGCTATAACCATTTTCATAATCACTCTAAAATCGCAATGAAATGTAATCCCCTCTCTGCGTGCTTCACCAAAATATTAATTACAAAACTTCACTACTGTCAGACAGGCGGAGAACTGCAGCAAAATTGGTCTAAAGATATACAAATTCATTCATCTACATTTTTTGTAATTGTTGCATTTTTCATTTACGCTGTGGTACTTACACTAGCGACAATGGAGTCAGATAAAATGGCGACGATACCAGGAAAAACATCGCGTGTCTGTGCGATTCTTATGTTGGCAACACGTGCGTCAGGAACACGAGAAGTGAAATGATGACAGAATTTTCTTTCTGTCTTCTTTATGAACCATTAGATTCCTCTGACACAGAATTTACTGGCGAGTCGAGCAAAGACTCTGAGACCAGACCAGAGAGGGGCCCACACCTTGCCGCGGGCAGCTCGCTCCGTGTAGCAGAAACTGGGTCATGGACCAGAGTTGCAACTAGATCTTCCGGGCTTCCGTGGCCTTCCGCAAACCGAAAGCAAGGTCGGTCACTCACACCTCACCGCCCACCTTACCATCATAAAGCACATTCGGTGTTAACACTCGGCAGTAATCGTGGTTAGTATTAGAGAGCTTTACAGAGCTTTAAACTACAGACAACAAGTTAACTGCAAACAGCAAAGAACCATTTGAAGACCGAAACTCGCGTAAATAATATTTAAGAAACCAGTCCGTACCGCGAAGAAAACACAACTCCTTACCATTACAGAGTTCATCCGGTTAACGCTGTTAATTAACGGGGACAGATCATTGGGTTATGGTACAGAGTATCACTAGAAGTGTCCCTAGGCTGTAAACTGCGTGTCCTGGTGGAGAAAGTTCGATACCGAGATGAAGTTAATGTGATATTTGCAATTTAAATTTCTCCGTTATCCATTAGAATACAGTGTACCCATTTTTACCACCTCTAAGTAGTAATCTTGTAGTGTAAGTAATAAAGAACGTAATTTTTTTTAAAAAACCCAACGAGAATCACGTACTGCACTACAAAAATTAAATCAGAATAGGGTATACCCCCCTCCCAAACCTCCCCCCTTGATAATTAGTCGAGGTCACCCGTGTTGCTAGGCCGCTGTTCAAGCCAGATGCGCAAAAGCTGTGTACGTGCGTACGTGAAACATCTAACAATGCGTATCCTGACGATGAAGAACCGAATAAGACAACAATACGCCGTCCGGTAACAAAATTTCGAAACACAGGATGCTCACATGATATCTGACGAGATGGGTGGGTTGCGTGCACAACCTGGAGACGGGGCAGGTCACATGATCAGTACCGCCACGTTCATCATGATTAGGCAACAAAACAAAAGCGCAACGAGAAGACGATTAACGATGGACTTGTAGCCTACTTACCGAGGATGACAGTTCCTACGAACAGACTCAGAGTCACGCTGGTGAATGTGGTGAATCTCTGAAACACAAAGAAAATCCGAGTGACACAAACACAACCCCTAAACTTCATTAAAGTGTTGTTGGTGCGCAAAATAATTTTCACTCGTCTCAAACACACCAGCACGAGACAAACATGACAAGCATCTGCACTTCACGCCTTAGACTGTCCACTGTTTATCCATGTTTGATTTAACCAAGTAAAACACAATGGTAACTATATATACCACCTGATTTAACAATCGGTAACTGTCCATTTTGTATTCACGGGTCCCGTATGAATCTCACAATAAACAGAGATCATTTCCTTAAACAGCGTTAATCGATTGATCTTTGTAATGGTGAAGAGATGTGTTTTCTTCGCGGTACGGACTGGATTGTTAAATATTATTCAGACGAGCTTCGGATTCAAAGCTTCAAGCCATTTCTCTACCATCTGAATTACTGTCACCCTTTTATCTGTCTGCGACTTCTGCTATAGTTTACGAAACACATACAGTTTTAATATAAATTCAAAATAAACAGCCCCTGCGACTGATACAGCGTCTTTAAATAACCCATTAACCAATTAATAACTTTAGATCGAATGTTGTACTCGGCTGCACGGGAAAGTCTGGTAAGTAAACTCAGAGACAAAAACAGATTTCTATTTGATTAGCATTGTTCCTTTGCTTTCCAGTCAACTGACGAACAAATTAGTTCTCAAACAAAGATTCTAGTACGAGTGGAAGCAGAATGGTCTTTCTTTTTTTTGTGAAGTTGCTACTGGCAACGGAATTAAATATATCTGTGCGTGCTGAGAGAATTGATCCTTGAACACGTACAGGGACTTACTTCCTGGTATTGCGGAACGTAACTTCTCGCCATAAAAACAACAAAAGCCAAATCGGCAAATCCTTCGTTGTGCAATCTAATTATTATAAATATTTCGGTATTGCAGGCCTATTTCGGGGGCTGAACAATTCGGTACAATGACGTCAGCCAGATCACAGCCAGGATGGAAAAAAAAAACCCGAGTTGTTCTGTCGTCTTGTTACGACAATACTCTGCAGAAAAGAGTAGAAAATAACAAAGGAAAAAGGGAATAAAGAAAGAATATATAAAAGGAAGAATTACAGAAAGAGAAAGGAAGATAAAAGAATAAAAATGAAAGATAGATAAAGAATCAGTGACAGAAAAAGACAAAATGAAATAACTTGTCACAACTTCTTGCTGAGGCTGACAGATGTCAGATAAGTCGTAAGACTGACGGGAGGATCAGTAGACGAGGATGAAAAATTAGGCAGAAGAAAGAAAGAGAGACAGCTGCGGACTTTCGAGGCACTGAAGACCAGTTTCATTATCAGACTGTTGATCTGCATGGCAGAAGAGCCGATGACCCACTGACACACTTCGACAACCGCGACCACGCACCAGGCAGTGATTTCAAGACTCGGACATCACATACGAACTTCAGGGGACAGTCGCAGGCTCTCGGGTACTGAACCGAAGAGAAAAGAGACGCAGAGAAGCCGAAACACACAGCAAACGGAAGTAGCTGGACCACGGGTTAGTTTAGTGTCTTACTCAAGTCATTTGTCAACCCATTTGTTTACTCGACATTGTTGTGTTGGTACAACAATGCCGAGTAAACAAATATAACGTAACATTGTTTGATGACGTAATTGTTTGACTACAAATTGGTTGACGACAACGGGGAATCAGAAATTTTTATAGTAAAATAATAGAAGACAATTAACAATCGCTGTACGCTGCTGGGCTGTATAGAGGCTCATAATAATTTCTAAAGCCCTTACATCATTTCTGAGAAATAAAAAAATCCACTGATTTCAAATGAGACTATTAATTATGCGTCATCTGTATGAGGTGTGGGTACCTTTAAGACGACAAGAAGAACATCGAAGCAGAGTGTCAACTGGAAAATGACGTGGGTGCTGACAGACGTAAGGGTTTGAACAAAAGTTCACATAAAATGATACTTGCAGTCACGAACAATTACATAAAGTCTGAAATTGCCTGCTCCAATTGTTAACTCAACTGCACAGGATGCATCAAGTCGTGAGACAGCGTTATAACACAGGGTGTTCTTAAAGTAGCTCAACTTTCCACTCGGGGTGATTTGGTATTACAACTTCGTCACCAATTTCGAAATTCATCTGCAACTGGCTTTGATTTTGCCAGTAAATTTCAATAACCGTATTTCAGAAAACACGCGAATGTTTGTTAGTTTTTTTTAAGGTTTTCACGGCGGTGGGTCCGAAGACGGCAATCTTCTGGGTTGCAGCGCCGTGTATTCTGACGTCACATCTTAGGAACGAGAAGAAAGTAACAGTGCTTTGTTTTCCTTTTAACAATTTGTTGGTCACCTTGTAGCTACACGATACGATCTGATAGAGTCAAATTGTATGTTGGTTACGTCAGACCCCGGTCCGCGTAATTAACCACTCACTTCCTGTAGTCTAAGTAATTACACTGCAATTAGGATCCGAAAATAAATTTACTTTTTCTTTGTTACTACGTTAAAACCTAGAATTTGTAAACTATCATTGAAGTCAGTGAAAACCTATTATCTATAATCGGCAAAGCATTCTTTCAGAGCGTTTGACCGCATAAGACCCTTCATTGTGGTTTACACTTTAATAATATCAGCGTATCCAATGGTATCACGTGCCGTATTTCTCAATTCTATTGTCGTATTTCGTAATTATTCTTGATTGTCTAAAGACTATTGGAAAAGGAACTTTCTCGTCATATAGACTTCTCTTTCAATAAGCCATTAAAAGTTTTTGAACAACGAAAATCGAATAACCTTAAGAACAATGCTATATTTTTATCTCTTGTTTCAGAATGATATACAGACCAGCTTGGAGATTATTACTTATTAAAAAACGTGAAGTTAGACGTTTTATGATGTGCGAAATTCGGCGTCTTACCCAGAAAGAACAATGTCGAATGAGGGCGTCTTTATTGAAAAAAATGCCACCATCTCAAACCGTGAAGATGGAGGCAGTATGTTCCTCCAACATTATTAAACACTGACAGCTTCACCGCCTTGAGAACCTCAGATCCAGGTTCTTTTACAGATCCCTGAAGTTCACTACCGTGTTCACAACAGCCAACCACTAAACCGTATTCGGAGCCAGTTTAATCCAATTCACACCCATGCATCCCATTTCCATAAATACATCTCAGTTCTACTGATCTCCTAACCTGCGGCAAATCTTAAACCCATTTCTCACGTCATGCATGCTACATGTCCCGCTGTTCACATCGGTGGCCGAAGTCGAGTGGTTAGCACTCCCGCTCCGTACTAGGGAGGTCCACAGTTCGCAAGAAGTCCGGCTTGCGGTTTCCGTGGTTTTCCTCTACCTTTCCAAGCAAATTCCAAAAATGTTGTTTTAAATTAAGCCACGATCACTTCCTTCCATATCCTCTCCGATTCATTATCAAACAATAATCGTAAAATTCGATGGTTTATAGTGAGTTACTGACAGCGACGTAAAAATTAAACGTAAGTAAAATAGGACTTCAAAGGTAAGCTTTTCGATTGAAGCTCAGATTGATCAGTACGAAAATAATTATATGTCTAATTATAGTTTTCTCCATCATTCCATTGCTTTGTGTCTCTTAGGTCCAAATACCCTCCTTACTAGTTTATCCTCAGTCACAAATTCACGCCCGTGATATTTCTCTCCCTAAGCCTCGCACCTAACAGTGGTAACAAAACACAACAGAGCAGATTCGCGGTGCCTGCAAAGTGTGTTACGCCTTGCCTTGCCGCAACTTTCACTACGCCTGACTACGTGAACGGGGTCCGTCCATCTCTCGTCCAATGATTTATCGTTGTTTACCAAGCCACGATCTTGACCCGCAATCCAAATTATGCAAAAATATGTCGCAACTAGAGACAACTGAAAACAAGCAACAGAGGTCAGCACGATTGACCAGAGCTCGTAGTTGTCATTTACAGTACCTCATCAAACAATCTCGATGCCTGATTAGAAAACTCTGTACGCCCTAGTTTACGTGGCATAAGACGTGGACCCCGAGAGCCTTGATTCCTTACACTAATAACACTATAAACTGATTACTCAAATCTGAGCGGTCACCAGAGGTTCTACATGGCGTCGTAGTCAGTTGACTACCACAAACCCATCACCAGTCACGGCCGTGGTTCGCATTCTAGAGGTCCTGTGTTTGTTTACAGCGTTCAGGAGGATTTTACTGACTGAACGAGATTTCAGACAAAGATTTTGATTTTGGTATTCAAGTTTGTGACGCTGTGTGATCTTGTAGATGGTTACCACGGTTTTTTTATCCTCAAAATGGAAGCTGTTATGCCCTCTGAAACGTCGATCAATATCAGAATAGACGATGCTTCATCTCAGAAGACATCCATCATGTTTCTTTCACTCTTTATTTTATACATTCTACTGCAGTACACCACGTTTAGTTGATATTTATTTTATCTCAGAAACCTGAACTTTGTACGTACACGTTTTTCTTTTATTATACAGAGTGTCCCAAATAAGTTGAAACCCGCTACGACAACATGTCTCAGCAACAGGGGGTGCGAACTGCCGAGAAATGAGTTTGTCACAACGCGGAACATAGCCATCGCATGCTACTAGGTCGGTTCCGAGCTACGTGGGACACCCTGTATAAAACGCTGAAACTGTCAAAACCTTACATAATTTGGTGTCCGCTCTCTTTCAACGTTCTGGGAATTGATCCACGTTTCGCCTATCACAGTGACATCCACAGGCGGAGCTTTCTGACTGAACATAATTTAAAAATACGTCGATTTATACGAATTTAAGACACCACGTTCAAATTCAGGCTAAATCCACTTTTCATTCTTAATAAAGAGAAAGAAAGTACGCCACTGACTACTCAGTAAAACTTTCATCTCTTCCCACTGCTAACTTTCTTCACATCATTTAACCTTAACCTTTACGAGCCTACACGTAAAGTACATTAGTGTTCACACAATCGAAAATAATGTTCACAGACACTTTCATCTGAGCCCGGGGGGGAGGGGTCCCCCCTCCATGCTTCGTTTGTGCGTGTATGAACAAGTTCTACCACGCATCTCCCAGCAATTCACACGCACGTGATGACAAACTTGTGTTATCATGGGGGCACACGGGCCAGAGTGACTCCAAAGAGGAGGTCACAGGTGGAATTTTGGCGTAAGGCGTACAAAATAAATACCAAGATTATAACATTACATAATACAATTGCTCAATGGGATTCTTCTTACAGGCTCTGTTTTAGTGTGGAGGTTCGCGACTTTAATCCACCTCTCGTCAACGAAGTTTCCATGACGACAAGTAAAAATGTTCTTTCTGACGGAATGCGCATTAAAAATAATTATATTACGATAAAGAGATCAAGTTTTATGACTGTGTAGTATTTAGTTGTAGAATTTGGCACGAAGACAAAAAGTTTTTTTTAGAAATCGCATTTACTAAAGGCGATTTCTAAAAAAAAAGTGATGTGGGTAAATCATAAAAATGAGTACATCCTCAAAAGCTCCTTAAAACAGTTTCAGCAAGAAATTTGTACATAACTTCATCTTTCGTCTTGTTTGAATATCTAAGATATTTTAAGCCTCACATAATAAAATGTATATACATTTATATTTATCACTCAGAAAATGGATCAAAATGAGCCGCTCGGACACTTATGAAAAATGTTGGCGTAACGTATTGAAATATATTAAAAATAAAGACGGAGGCAGATGTGCGACGAGCTGTCCATTATATGATGACACTCCGCGTAAAGAACGCAAACAAATGACAACCTTCACCTTTTAGTTTAAAAAAATTTAAAGGCGAATGTTGAGAACTTTACATTCTGCAAAATTATGTCTTTCTACTGAACCATAACAAAACCACGATAAAGAGAATGTCTGATAAATGAGAGAGCACGTAGTCGTGTGCTTACTGCAGCGGAAAAAATGCACAGGCAACAAGAAAATTCTCAAGATACTTGTCATGACAAGGAACGAAGAACGAGCCGTGTTTAACAACATTTTACCAGTTGCCTTGTTTTCTGTCTGCGTGAAGGAGCCAATAATTTAATTCCCTTTTACATCAATTTTAATATCAGACTATGTTATGTTATGTTATGGCTGTTACAATTATCAATTAAGGAGTTACAAAGAATGTTATTACACATGAAACATCGAGAATTTGAAAGGCTCCTTGTAACTGCGTAATTCTATTTTGGAGTGTTTATTAAATTTAGCAACCTTTCTTTAGACCAGTGGTATTCAATCTTTTTTGTTCGCGTACCCCCAGACATAATTTCTCTTCAACTTTATACCCCTAAAGTTGTTGGCGTATAATTCAAGTTATACGTAGTATATAATCTACATCTAAAATAAATTAAATAAATTACATTACTGATTATTCAGTGTTTATCATAAAATAATATATGTTTTTAAATTTCACATACCCCCTAAGATGTCTTCGCGTACTCCCGGGGGTAAGCGTACCCAAGGTTGAATACCACTGCTTTAGACCACTATGAATCGAACGAATAAAATTACTGACACAAAATTAAACTGTACAAAACAATAATTTTAAATTTTCGTCTATAGATATGGAAATTGGTCGTTCATATTAATCCTTTGAGTTTCGAAGTTTCAATAAAGATGGTTTTCGCCGTTTGTCGACGTTTCAGTGGAATATACCGTCCTACAGCTCTGAAGATGGATGTAGTGTGATCTGCCTACAAGTCCACAAGGCTTTACAACCCAGAAGGGGCCGTTGACGTGTCGACTGACATGTAACGTGTTCTCTGTTACCTGCAGAGGATTCGGTTCACATATACCATTACGTCATTTGTTGGCGAGCTCCACTGTGCTGGATAGTGGCAAGACGCTCATCGTGTGGGTAATGTGACCGCGAATGGCCGCTAGTTGTGGTGCAGAGAGAGTTTAAGACTCGCTGAAGAACGTGTTCTTACAGCCAGACGATGCAGTCCGCTGTCTAAATAATACCAAGTTACACACTCCTCGAATGCAGGTCAGGATCTACTGACTAATCAACTAGCTAGCTAACTACGTGGTGGAAAGTCCTTCTTGAAATGCTGACAGCCGCCTTTTTGGTATTAAAGAACGCTATCTCGGTGGTTAGCACACCAGATTCGTATTCGGGAGCTCCCGGGTTTAATATCTCAACCAGGATACCGACTATCCTATCTAAGGCTTTTCTTGGATTTACTCAGTCCCTCCAACCAAATGGAAAGATAGTATCTTGATTAAGGCCACATCGGTTCCTTCCATATCCTTTCCAATTCATTATTCGCTAATCATCGTAATATTCGACGCCATACAGTATGAGCTAATAACAACGTTGTTAAATTAACCGATTAATTATATAATTTATCTTCTTTAGATGAGTTTCTAAACATTCTCTTCCTTCCGATAGGTCGTTCTGGTCTATCAAATTTGTAGGTCAACGCTACACACGTCATGTCATCCCACAAAGGATGTCGCCCTCAAATGACCCTTTGACAATGGTTAAACCGAATATCCAGATGCAAATCTCAGAACTCCTGTAAAGTATTCTGTAGGTTCTGCGTTCGACCTCGGACACTTACATCGACAAGCTTTACACCGTTTACCTCAGTACTCCTGGGCAAGTGATATATGAAAACATCACAGCTTTTGTAATTAACCGATCCCAATTAATTATCTTAAGGCGATCGACAGAAAAGATAGCAGGGCACAGTGTTGGACGCTTCTGCGCTACTGTCGAGTTTCCTCGTGAGCCATTCAGTTACAAGAGAGCAGGTGTATAAAGTATTGAGTTGGTTAAACGTGAAACAGGCGCCATTTGTGCGTAAATGCACGTTTGGTTACGCACTATCCGGTAAACAAGATGGCCACACGTCCCTACAGCAGTGCCATTTTCCGAGTCGAATCTCAAAGTACCTGTGTGTAGGAATGTTTGCTGACTTCTGACCCACAGACACACACATTTATTCCCCTCTAGTATGACCCAAGTTGCTATGATACGCGATTTGTACCCGTAGACGATAATTGAAGCTACTTTTAATGTGTGAAGATGTTGGCATGCCTGAAGGGACATCGCATGAGGAGGATTAAGCTTCATGTAACACGGGTGGAGAAGTGACTTCTCCACAGAGGTCGTCTTACATCAGAAATGTAATGTTCTAATATCACGCGCATACAGATCTTGGTTTTTTTTTTCGAAATACATTGAAATGCAAGAACTTATGTGAAGCTTTCTCTTCGCCTAGGGAAAAAAGACGTATGGTCACGTGGAGCCCAAGATCAACGCATTATCCATCTCGACTACAAGCGTACACTACTGCAAGAAATTACATTTTATCGGTAACTTCTATTTGCGTACGTATTTAATTTCCTAGAACAGTCAGAATATTATAATTTGAACTAACATTTACCATCATTAGCCACTGATTTATCGGTAAATTAATGCCTTATAAAAATAAGCTTTGCAAGAAGAAATATGGGTAATTAATAAAGTTATATACAAGGTGTTCCTTCAGTCCGCGGCCATATTGGAACTGCTATTTGGCAGAACACAGAAAAATGTAAAGAGGGAAATGTCACAAATTATGTTCCCATACCCAAATGCTGGGTATTTTTTACACTCTTTATATAATCGGTGGTAAGAAGACCCTCAGATGTTGGCACATTCACACAACAGTGTTTCCAGAGAAGAAAGAGGCGGTAATGAAGGAGAGACAGGTTCTACAGAAAATTCTGGAGACATACGGCTCTTTGTCATGTCAACGTGGCGACACCGCAGGAACGTTTTAATATTGTTAAGTTTGAGACTGGAAACAAACGATTCGCAACAAAGTTTGACTTCTTACAGTTTTTTCCGTCTTTGCTAAACTTGTTCTCATGTGACCTTGAACTTATGGGACACGCTGTATAATGAAGAATGAAACTAGAAAAAAATTAGACAATGTGGAGGCCAGCACGAAGAGATTTTTAGACGCTAAAGTCGGCATTTACAGTAAGTGAAAATAAATTAGCAGCTTGTAACAAAACACAGTGAAATAAGACACCAATTCAGATTCTCGGTTTCAAAAACTCAATTTTTTTTAAGATATTTTTCTTCGTCGGTTAATGTGGCGGTGGCAAAGGAACTACAAATAACAAGTCAACCGATTAACCACAAAGATCCTCATTCTACACAATTCGCGACAATTCGCTACTGAAGCCGGATCAGAATACTGTGTCCGATATTTCGATACGGTGCATCGATACATCGTTCAGCCCTGTCTAATGTTATTGGTTACGGTAATAGGAAGAGTAAAAGCTGCAGACACAAGCATCTCGTCTTGTAGAAAGTCGCCCAGACACATACGTACTTACATACACACGTACGTACTTAGTTACTTACAAACGTACTTACTTACTTACATACATACAAACATACTCGTGTGTGTGTGTGTTGTCTCCAGGACAGACCACTACAGACCATCAGAATCTTCGTGTGTTCAGAAGGCTCCTTCACACGACAGGTACAATTATTACAATAAGAAAATGGGGAAACTGTTGTACGACGCGCCCGAAGCGGACTTCGTGGTCACCCCGTGTAAGAGACACAGAAGGCAAGAAAGGACTCACCTCTTTCCGGACGCCGGGGAAGATGACGAGAAAGGCCAGGAAGACGGTGAAGAAGACGAGGTACAGTGTGAGGGTGTGCACGTCCCCCGTGACAGGCGTTCGGTTGTTGTAGCTGTACAGGGTGGGGCCGCCATCGTTTCTGAACGCGTCGAACCAGCCCTTCATGACGGCGTCACCCCACTGAAACAGCCATCGAGAGACGTCAACACCTCCGCTACACAAATTCATAAACAACGATAAAAAAACATCGTGTAACAGAAACGTATAACAACCGCCATCTTGATCTTCAAATGGCGTCGGACTTTCGTGGTGATAAGCTAATCAATCATCTTCGTCGAATTCCTTGATAAGCGTGGGGATAATTCGACGCGTGTAACAATAGCAGGCTTTAAAATTCAGCCTCCGACAGCCACATTGATGCTCGCCATGATTCTGAAATAAAACAGCAGAGAATCGCCGGTAAGCGCTGCTTCCTGCATGGTGTGATGCATAAACACAGGCGCTTCTTAAATTTTCTTTTTTGTAGTATCTGTGCCTAAAGAACTTCACCACTCGTATTTGCCGCTTATAACATCCGTAAAGCGAAAAATACATTGTATCGAGAATTTTTTTGTTTTGTTTAATTCTACAAATACGATGGCACGGACAGGGTGGGGTCGGACAACGATTTGCTACCCGGCAGCCCCCCCCCCCACCTACCCGTGACGAAATATAATGAAAACGAATAAATCAGAATAAAATGGGCGAGGAAGATAAAGTAAGGAGTTTGTAACGCCCTGTTGGTTATGGAATTGTGACCCTAACGAAATGTTTTCTGTTATGCTGCATGAGCAGCGTGCCAACATAACAAAATATTCGTGCTGAAGAAAAAATGAGATCGTGTCTGACCCCGAGTTTTAGAAAGGGTCGCTCGATCGCTCACTCCTTTGGTTCAGTGATTTTATTGTGACGGGGGCGTGCGATTTCTGCCCCCCCTTTTTTTTTTTGTCAACGACAGTTCCTGACAATTGTTGGGTACCTGGGAATAATATCGGCGTCTTCAAGCGAGGACGGACCGGCGACATTCATTATCCATACAGACATGAGTTCTCTCGAGCTGATAACCACTTTCTTTCTTTTTTTCTTTCTCTTTTTTTTTTTTTTTGGGGGGGGGTAAAATTGAAAAAGGCCACAAACGACAGGAAAGAAATAATTACAACTCTGTCGAACATGACCAAAACACGATACTAATAACCCGAGCTACCGCTGATGATCGTATGATCGCTCCATCGCCATTTGATATATCAATAAAGTGAAAAATTAAAGCCATGTAGGCGCTCAGGGGGAGAGATATAGCTCATAGTCATTCTCAACCTCAGCTCTAGATTGGGATGAGTGATCAGCTTAACGCTCCGGCCGTGTTTTACCCCTGTACCCACTGGAGAGGAGGCTAGATGGACCAAGACAAATTCTCTGCCCCTGTCGGACATCGAACCCCGTTCGTTTAGTCCGTGATTACATCACTTCCCAAATGAGGAGCTCAATAAATTTTATTACTTATCACTATTATTAAGATGATCAGATGAAGGAAGATGAGATAGGTGGGACATTTAGCGCGCATGAGATAATAAATGTGAGCAAAATCTTAGTTGGGAAGCCTAAAGGGAAGATAACACTTGAAGATAAGAGGGTATATGGGAGGATAATATTAAAATTTGTATTAGTGTAATAGATATGGACAGCGTGGATTGGATTAATCCGAATCCATAAAAGGCGGTGATTTCATGACTAGATGAGCATAAATTAGCTTCTGAAGTAGGTCTCTGCTGCTGGGAACATTACCTACGTATTCCTCCTCGACGTACGCCGAATATTATAGCATTGAACGAGCGGTAACTGTTATTCGTACGCGTCCTTGGTGCCGCGTGCTTACGCCACTGCGTATATTTACGCACTGAGTGCAGAACATGGCAACGCCATTACGACCGATGCAGCGACCTCGTTCCGTGCGAGGCAGGCGACGGGGACGTCCTAACTGAAGGGTGACATACCTCGAATTCAGTTCAAGGTCGTCCTGATTGCGGGGTAATCGCTCCAGCGATGCGAAATGCGTTTCTGTTTACCAACATTGCGGTCAGTGACAATGGCTGATTCATCGCACCAAACCATTTTGGGTACTCCCCACTCTCTGAGGCATATTAATGCCCGACGTTTCGGGAACTTCGCTCTACTCCTCTCTTCAGGTGATTTATTTACGCTACTGCTGTAATAGAACCTGGGGCCTCACGAATATCGACAAAAAATCTCATAGAACATACTTCCTCCTTCTTCAAGGATGAAGCCCTGGAGGCATTATGTTCGTCTAGAACGTTGGTATCCACGTATAGGTCCTCACGACGTCTCGTCCCAGGAGATCACCATCGACTTATGATCCAGAAACTGTAAGCGTCCAGCCTGTGTCGTCTAATACTGAGAGACAAATTGGAATGGCGAAAAAATTACGGTTTCTAAGACATTTCTACTTGCGAGTGAAATCGACGTGAAAGTTTCGGATCCAAGAAACAAAAGTAGTTTATGTTGCAACGATCTGGACATTTGCCAAACGATTCAGATGGTCGCCATGGTAGCACACCCATTACGGAGGATATGGAACATAAATATCTTATTTTGCAGAATAACTGAAATGCAAAGCGTGGCCCAAGTCAGAACTTTGCACCGTACGAGTAGGAAACGCTCAGTGAAATTCAGCGTCCAATGGATCTTTCTAATTTTTCTTCCCTTCCGCCATCTCATTCCTTTATCCTCCTGTATTTCCTTTACCTCCACTTCAACTCTAACGAATAGACGTGCTACGCTATTTAAAACTTTTCATCACCAGTTTAAGAGTACGTCTAAATGCTTCTGGATGTTAGCAGCACTTCCAAAATCAAACATTCATCCGTGCTACATGTCCCATCCATTCAATCCTCCGTGATTTAATCACCCTAATATTTGACGAAGATCACAAATTATGGTAAATATTTGTCGTGGAATTTCGTTCGTCAAATATTAAACTATCCTCAGTACCGTCTTCTCAGGCACCCTCAATCTGCCAGACCAAGCTTCACGCACATATGAAACAGAATAAATTATTGTGAACTGATTATTCCAACCAATGAGGCAGTGGTAATTCCTCTGTACCGAAACCTGAAGTGACCTAAAACAACAACACTTCACCTTCCGCATTTCTCAGTCGCCCCGGGGCGAATGGGCGATGAAAGCCGGGGGAATCGCGAGCCATTCGGAACAGAGACGGATAGAAAGACTGAAGAACGCGCAAACAGCATTCCATCGAGATGAGTAGCGATCAGCAAGAATCCTGCATTAACCTATAAAGCCGGAATTAATCTGAATAACATTTAAGAATTCAGACCGTACCGCGAAGAAAACACAACTCTTCACCATTACAAAAATCAACTGGCAAACGGTGTTTGAAAAAAAAATCTTCATTTACCGTGAGAATCATATGAAACCCATAACTACAAAACGTAGACTTATTGGGTGTTACATCAGCTGGTATATATAATTACCACTCGACTTTATACAATTAAACTGTAATCTTCTTTATAGGGATAAGTTACCAACTGGTCTGGACACGTAGTCACCACGTTCAGGTATTTATTCCAATTGAAGTTCTTGGTCCCCTAAACACGCTAAGCCTTTATTACGTAAAACTGACTTAATCGTCAGTGTGGAAATAAATATGCGCATCAAAGGCGTTATCCAAGCTCCACCAACGTTCCTGCCATCTACACGAACTCTGATCTATTTATAATGACAGCAGACATTAATTTTGCGTGAAGAAAAACTCACTTTGCCCGTTTTTGTTATATATATATATATTTTTCTCTAAAGTGTTGGCAATATTGAAACGTTGGTTCACGATTCACTACGCCTAACATCAACGTCTGAGTCACTCATGACGAACAACGATTCGCGTATCGCAGTAAAAGTGAAAAGCTTGTAGTGGCATGTCGGTCTGCAGTAGAGAGTAATGAATGTTTCCTCACGTCCGGCCAGTGTCCACATCACACATAGGCATTCATTTCCGGTCCGTGACTTGCACGCATGCGTACAGACACATTAGAATGTCCGTTGTCTCCCTCAATCACTTTCTATATCAACAGGACTTGGTGTAAACAGAATGCCACCAGAGGTCACCCTTCCTTCAACTTCTCAAAAGCCTGCCAAATTTGTTACGGTAACTTTTATAGTTGCGTTAAGTATTACCATGGCAACCCAGCGTAATACCAAACCAAGTGACGGCGAAGACTGGTAATCAGCGTTGGACAAGGAAAATTTGAACCCAGATTGTCAATAAATATAGCGACAACTTGAGGCGAAACTTTCTTTCTGCGCGTTAAAAATACACGGTAACCAGGCCTTAATGTTTACCTTCGGAAAACTTTCAAGTAACGAAAATCTCTACCAGCAGACATTGTCAGAACCAAATCTTTGTGTACATACGAGGTGCGATCGGAAAGTTTCAAGACTGTGTCAATAGAGGGCGAACCGGATGTAGTACAAGCTTCTGCCGCTAGGGGGTGCAGCCTACATTCATAGTGAATAAGTGTGCCAGCCGGCATCATCGAATTAGCATTTGTTTCTTAGTTACGGGCGTTTTGGTAGTGCATTACACCGACCCTCCTGCGATTTCGGAATGGCGTGTGCATCAAATTTTGCCAAAGACTCGCCAAAACGGCTACGGAAACCTATGAAATGCTAAAGCAAGCATTTGGGGAAATACTTCGAAATGGGTCGTGCACAAACTTTTGTGTGGCATTCACGTTTTAAAAAGGGCCGAACCCCTGTCGATGATGACGAGCATTCTGGACGACCATCTTCGAGCACAACGCCCGAAAATGTTACCAAGATTCGGCAGGCCATTCACGAAGATCGACGTCGTACCATCAACGACTTGTGCGACATTGTTGGGATAGACTATGGGACCTGTCAGCTGATTCTAAAGGAAGAACTCCACATGCGACGCATCAAGACAACGCGCCAGCGCACACCGCCCTCAAAGTTCGGCAGTTTTTGGCCTCAAACACCATGGCCGTCATCCCGCACCCTCCTTATTCGCCGTGTGACTTCTTCCTCTTCCCAAAGATGAAAATTCAGCTAAAGGGAAGGAGATTTGAGACGATAGAAGAGATTCAGGC